CTTTCTCACACTGGTTCTTGTTCATGTACTTGGAGGTTTCCTTCCGTTGCTGCCCTGACAGGATTGGGTCAGAAAAGTTAACAGATTTGAAGTGATTCTTCTGCAAGGAAAAGCTGCCATTTGAAAAGATGCTCATTGCAGAACAGACTTTAAAAAATGTTTACTATGAGATAGCATTGATTTGATGGCTTTTGGGGGGATGGGGAGAGGTGGAGCTTATTGCCTGTGTATATATGGTGATGTTACGGTAGAATCAAGAGGCACTGTCGGGCCCAGAAACCTTTGAAGCAATAACATATATGAAGGATGGCTGGATGGAATCCAAGAACAACCTCATCTAGGGTTGACTTTAAAAAAAAATGTTTTAAATGAAGTTTGCAATAGGACATGGGTCTTAAAGTGAGATGAATGAGCATTCCATTCTTGGGGTCTGCTATACAATGTGGGGCTTTGGGCCGGTTAATTACTTTCTCTGCACTCTAGTTTTATGGTCTGGGGCCTAATCTTAATTTTGAACATACACTTATCAGCTGCGTGACCATGTGCGTCATCCTGTCAGCTCGTAAAAACACTGTAGGACATGTAGAAAGGAACCCTGGTAGTGTGGCTGCTAACTGCAAGGTCAGTAGTTTGAAACCACCAGCCACTCCATGAGCGAAAGACTGGCCTTTCTATTTCTGCAAAGAGTTACAGTCTCGGCAACGCCCAGGGGCAGTTCCAGCCAGTCCCATGGGGTGGCGATGGGTCAGAATCAACTCTCTGGCAGTGAGTTTTGAGAGGACATGTAGAACTGCCCCATTGCAGGGTGGCCCCATTGCGGCCTGCCTTATCTTCCTTCCAGGGAATGGCTTGTGGTTTCCATTCACTGACCATGTGGGGGGAATTTCATCATTAGAAGATAGTGTTGTTGGAAACGAGAATATTGCCTCTAGGAGGAAGCTTGTTGTAAAGTTAGACGAAAGACAACTCACCAGGATGGGCTACCGTTCAAAACAAGAAGGCGGGACCTGTTCAGAAATCACTCAACATTTCAGGCCTGGGGCAGCATAACATTATGCTGAGGGAAGGGCCCTTCTGGGCTGTCCCGAGACACCCCGCTGCACACACATGCCTTGCCAGGTGGGCCCTGAAGCACCCAGGCCCCTTTGCGAACCCAAACCAAACTCACACTCACCATCACTGAGTCGATTCCGATTCATAGGGCCTTGTGTACACAGTGGGTGCCTAATGCACACTCGCACCTTTGTACCAGGGAGCTCCTGCTCCCACCCCTCATGCCCACCGCCTTTAGCCTTTGCCACTTGCTGTCCCTTATTCAAGGAGCCCTGGTGGGCCAGAGGGTTACAGGTCGCGCTGTTCGTTCTATTGCTGTGGCCCAGGGTGTCAGACCTGACCCCATGGCAGTGAGTTTGCATTTGGTTTGGCCCCTTGTCCCAGATACAAGGACTAGACCTGGAATTGCAAGTCCCACGGAGTTCCCCTGAGCCCCAAATCCCAGCTCCGCGGTCTCCAGTCGCTTTGGGCGAGTGGCCCGTGGGCTCAGCTGGACAGCCGCCCCACTCTCCATTCTCACCTGG